CAGCATGGACTGGTTGGGCCGAAGGGTCTGTTTCTGTGCTGTATGACCCTATGATGGTCCCTCTATCAGTCAGGTTCTCCCTCAGTGTAGGCCCTCATGAGGTGTGGATACAGTCTCTGGCCTGGCTCCCCTCAATGGTATACAGGGGTGGATGTGGTCAGAGAGTCAACCCCATCCTCTGGACATTGTAAAATCCAATGGATTGTTTTGTGTGACCCCTTTGCACTGGGATGAGGGGGAATTTGTTCTCTGTAAGGGGAGTGAATCCATAGAATTCTCTACCAGAGGTGTGTTGTTTGGGGCTGGGTCATTGTGTAGTCAAGGCTGAGACTTTTATTCAGGAAGGTGGTGGGTGGCGGGGGAGGGGTAAGTGGAAGAGTGGAGCTGAGGATCAGATCAGCCAGGACCTCTCAGAAGCGTGGGGTAGATTTGATGGGCTGAATGGACTCCGAAATTTGCCCAAATTAACTCCGAACCCGCTCGCTCCTGCAGCTGGCCTCAAAACTGGTCCCGGCAAGGCCTCTGGCCTGTGCAGCCCGATTGGCAGGCTGGTAGCGGTTACCATGGTGATGGTCTTCCTCTTGGGAGCAGCGGCCGTGACGGTGTGGGCTGTCGGTGAGTGAGCAGGGCCTGGGTCGAAGGAGGCGACGGAGGTAGGGAGGGTGTGTAGGAGGCGACGGAGGTAGGGAGGGTGTGTAGGGGGCGATGGAGGTAGGGAGGGGGTGTAGGAGCTGGAGGGGGGGTTACAGGGGCAGGGAGGGGGTGGTTGGACTGGGAGTTGATGTGGGTCTGTTAGAGGAGGCGGTCGGGGAGTGGTGGTGATGGGTGACTGGGAATGGGTTATGAGTTTGGACATGGGAAGGGGGTTTAGTTGAGTTTGGGATGAGGTGGGCCCTTACTGGCTGGGAAGCACCAATATCATTTTGGATCTTCATCTGTTTCCCTTTCAGTGACATACATGAAGAAAGCAGAAACCCACCTCTACAATGGTAAGCTTGAGATGGAGATCATGGCAGCTCTGCCTTCCGTATCCCTCAGTTAGACCCGCACTCGGAGCACCGTGCACAGTTCCAGTCCCCGTGTCCCTCAGTTAGACCCACACTCGGAGCACCGTGCACAGTTCCAGTCTCCATGTTCCACATATGATCCCAGAACTGATGGATTTAAAACCATCGGGACAGACTGAACAGATCGGGGATGTTTTCTCTCGTGAAGAGGAGGCTGAGGGATGACCTGGTTTTGGGGTTTAAAATTCTGAAAGGGGTTTTGCTCGGGGAGATGGAGAGAAGGTGTTTTCAGTTGTGTGTGCATCTACGTGTGTGCGCCTGTGTGTAGGTATGGGGGAGACCAGAACAAGGGGCCATCGACAGAAGACAGTCCCAAATAAATCTGATGGGAAATTCAGGAGAAACATCTCCCCCCCAGAGGCAGTGGGGCGAATGTGGGACTCGCTCCCCCAGAGACAGTGGGGGGGGGGGGGGGGGGAGGCGGGTGGAATATGGAGCACCGAGGGGCCGAATGGCCTGGTGGGATACAAGAAGATAGCATCAACTCCTTCCTACATCAAAAATCTTCAACTAACAAGCTATCGGGCAAAACCTTTGGTAGGATTACCTTTTATTAGTGTTTCAATCAAGATTTTAAAATGCTAATATTTTTCCACAATTACATTTAAGGCAATAATTCAAATCACAGACACCCCCGTTACAATATATAATTTGCAAGTAGTTTTAACTGCAGTACACACAGTAATAGCCTTTACAAAAATCTTTTTCCATGTTCTGCTAAAAAATAAAATACCCTTTCTCCCTCGCCCCGCCACACCACCTAAGCATTTCTAAATGGGACATTTCATGTCAACTGTCACGCTGCAGTTCCACTCTTACACCACAGGAAGTGCTGCAGCACCACCCAACGGCAACAAACTTCACACGCTACTCCCAGTGTCATCACAAGTCCTGACCCAATGGTGGGACAGGCTCAGGAAGGGGGCTGAATGGCCTCCTCCTGTTCCTGTGGGACAGACTCGAGGAGGAGGAAGGTTGGGGGGGGGGGGGGGGGGGGGCGACGTGCTGCTGCGGTGAGAGCGGGTGGAGGAGGAGGAGGAGGAGGAGGGGCTGAACGGCCTCTTGTGAAAAC